TGCATGCTCCCTGACCCAAGCCAGACACAGTCTCCTCAAGGACACAGTCATTTCTTGCCATTTTATATTAAAAGAAAGGGGGACCTGTGGGAGACCAATGCTTGGCCTTATACTACAGACTGCTGCATTTAATCTGTTGTCTTGTGACCTTCCCAGAGTTAAGTTTCTGTTTCCCCTCCAAGCCATTTCCCAGAAGTCACATGCCTGATCTCCATTCTAGAGACCACCCCCCAGTGCCTAGTGACCTGATGACGTATAATCACTCCTCCCTCTCCTTCCCCGCTTCCTATAATTCTCTGAGACTTCCTTGAATAAACGGGGCTTGATCAGAACATTTGTCTTGCCTCCATTTCTCGTGTCTCCTGTCCCTATTTCATCCCCACTCCTCTTCCAGGGTCCTCGTTGACTAACCCGTGGGTCGGGTCAACCATGTAACACTGAACAGGACAAAAGTTTTCTAAGGAGTCTAATAGGAATTCTATCTTTGGGATAAAAACATCTGACGTAAACATACATGCCAAGGGCTTAGTACCCAGATTCAAAATGCAGGATTATATTTTATTGCTGAGGTTTATGCTTATGATTATACCATGTATCATCTCCTGTATCCAAGAGGCAAAAGGAAAGTTCAGTTGACAACATTTTTTTGTGATGCAGGGATGGGATCCATGGGATCTTAACATGGATCATGTTAAGTCAAGTGCTTTACCACTAAGCTATATTCCCAGCCCTTTGTAAAATTTTATTTTGAAACACAGTTTTGGTAAATTGCTTAGGTTGGTCTTGAAATATGATCCTCTTAGCTGGATTTGATGGCACACACCTGTAAGGTCAGCACTCAGGGAGGCTGAGACAAGAGAATTACCCTGAGTTCAAGGCCAGCCTGGGCTACAAAGTGAGTTTAAATCCTGGCTGAACTACATAGGAAGACCTTGTCTTGAAAAACAAAAAGTGAAATTGTGATCCTCTTGCCTTAGTCTTTCAAGTAGCTTAGATTAGGCATTTTATCATCACACTTTTTGTGAGCCTAATATTGAGTAGGAATAATACTTTAGATTCAGGTTTTCAAAAACCTAAGAAGCTGGTGATTGTATGCATTTAATCATTTATTTGGTACAGGGTCTTGCTACATTCATGGGCCCCACATTAGGTGGGTGGTTTAGGCAGGAAGAGAGTGCTTTGAGTTTGTAGAGGGGTAGTCATTTTTTGTTTGTGTGTTTGTTTTTGTCTTTTTGAGACAGTGTCTCATTTTATCCTTTTACTCACCATTATAAAGGTCATGGCCAGTCATGGTATCATAATCCCGGCGTATTTAGGAGGCCAAGGCAGAAAAATTGCCTAATATTATAGATTAGCTTGGGCTACATAGTAAGTTCAAAGCCAGCCTGAATTATACAGCAAGACCTTGCCTAAAAACTAAATAAAGGTCATGGTTAACACTCTGAAACAAAAGACAGATTAAACATGAAAAAAAGCATAACAAAGTAATTTAATCAGTTTATACAGTGACACAATAGCTTTCAGAAGATGATCCAAAGACCTGTGGAAATGACCATTTTTATTCTCAGATTTGATGAAGATTGGACAAAATGGAATGAAGTGGGGCAATCTAGCAAGGCTACACAGGTTTTAGTATTTTTTCTTTCTTGGTATGGGACATGTTGCACATGGAATGAAGGTTTTTTTTTTGAATGAGGGTTCTATGACCTACTGTTAGACAAAGGTAGATCAGGGAATCTTTCTGTCCTGCTGAAAGGTTGGCTTTGGGGAACGGATCTAGTTTCTATGACTCACTTTGAGGAAAGGAATTCTAGTGTCTATGGCTTGCTTGGGGTAATGGCAGAAGAAAGAAGGGCAGGAGGTTCTAAGGCTGCTTTTGAAGATGTGCCTTTTAGTTCAAAGTATAGTACTCAGCATGCCAAAATGCCTTGGCTCAGGATTAGTTAAACCAGCCAACCAAAAACAAACAAACCTGCCCTGAGCAAACAGGGTTAGGTATGCCAAATACAGGGGTGAAAAGTCATAAATATATATTTCCTAAATTTTAAAGAAATCATTTACATGAAATCCAGGTTTAACCGGGTTTATCTTGTATTCTATCTGCCAACTTTAGGTAATGCAATAAATTCAAAGATCTGCAGTCTCCAAAAGTTTGTCCTTTTGTGGCATCTATAGGTAGCATCTGGACCTTTCTCTAGAGATGAAAAAGGTGGAAATTGCCGGGGCCAGTGCAGTGTATGCTGCAAGCAACCGGATGCTGACTTCCCCAGAAGTAAAAGGACCACTGGCCTCTGTGGGAGCTGGGCTCAGGGCTCAGTAGAATCTGAGAGGAACTGCGACGTCTAGTGTTTCACCGAGGCTTCTCCCGCGATCACAGGCCGCTGGCCAGAAGCCGACCGCCAGACTCCAACATGGCGCTCACGGTGGCTGCCAGGTGCCAAGATGGTGGCGCGAAGCCGCGCCTGCGCTCTCGGGTCTCCTCCCCCAATTTTTCTCGGGCAGCGAGCCCGACTCTTCACCTAACCGGAACGCCGGCTGCTCCTCAGCGGGGTGGTGGTCCGGGTCGCTGTCCACCCGTGCCATGCGGCTCCTCTGTAGGTGGCAGCTGCTGCTGTGGGTGCTGGGGCTTCCTACCCGCGGCCTAGAGGGTGAGTGCGGCCGGGGTGGGGCCGGACCGGGCCGCGGGTGGCAGGCTGCGGTGAACTAAGTGACCGCGCGAGGAGGCGCTACCGGCGGGCACGGCGCTTTACCTGCGCGAAAGCCCGCGTCGTGCGCCTGCCCTCTGGCCGGCGTCCTGCCCCGCGCTTCCCCGGACTCTGCCCGCCAGTGGTCGCGGCAGCCGGGCGGCCGGAAGGGCAGCGCCAGCTGCGACCGCCCCGTCCAGGCCCCGGCTGGCTCCTGACGTCCGAGGGACTGTGGACTCTGCGGCTGCGAGGGAGGCGCGTAAGCTGCCCTGACGGGCGCTTTGTTAGTAACCAGCATCCTCGCGGGGATAGCCCGCGTTTTCCGAGGCCCTGCGGGGATCCAGGAGCTGTGCCTAGTACTTCACATCTTTCTCTCGTTTAACCCTTCCACCACCTTGTGAGACAAGTTCCTTTCGTGCGGACGGAGGCTAAGCAGTCTGGTGAAGCCTGCACTTCAAGGAAATGGCAGAGCCTAACGCCTGGATTTCACAGCCAGGCTGAGCCCACCCGCTCTGTAGGAGACCGGTCTTGCCTAGGTGTCTGCATAAAGGACCAGCTAGGAGACAGCGGGGCTCCGGGGGGCGTGCTGCCGGCCTGAGGCACCGCGCGGCTGAAGTGGGCAGCAGGAGCCGCGCCGGTGCTGCTTCCTCGTACCCCTCACTATCTGTGAAGTCCAGATCCTTAGGCCTCGCCTGTCGTTCACGTTTTAACAGAAGTACTCGAGTCTTTCCTTTCCCTGGGAGGCGGGGCAGCAGACTGTTCTTGAGGTGGGAGAAGAGTGAGCGATAGTGACACCATTACCGTTAATGGTAATGGCGCACCCACTGTGCACCATTCTCAGGGCTTAGTGCTCTCGGAGCTATTTTTTCCCCATGATTTTTTTTTTTTTTCTTAATTTCTCTCTACCGTGTTTTTGAGACAGTATCTCGCTGTGCAGCTCAGGCTGAGTTGAGCTCACTTTCTAGCCCAGGCTGGTCTTGAACTGGCAACATTCTCCTGTCTCAGCACCCCTCCCCCACTGGGATTACAGGTGTGTGCCATCACACCAGGCTGTCTTATTCTTTGTGTGTGTGTGTGTGTGTGTGTGTGTGTGGTACCAGGGATTGAACTCAGGACCTTGCACTTGCCAGGCAGGCACTTGGGCCACTGAGCTATCTCCCCCAACCCTGGCTGGCTGTGTGCTTCTTTAAATGCTATGTGGTAGATATTATTATTCCCATTTTATTTTTATTTATTTATTTTTTTTTTTAA